ACGATTTCCGCAAAGTGGCGGCCAGGTCGGCCTTTTGTCGGCTCATCTTGGAATTGGAATCATTTCGCATATTGTCCATCCCCGACCCGACCCCGAGAGTTGTTGGGTACTGAAGTCTGAAATGGGAGGGAGAATCAGTCAACACTGTCGTGTCTGTGGACTTGAAGAGCGATGATTATATCTCATTCCCGCAGCACACTGCACAGGGATGGGATGAATGATAATTTAAGTTTATATTCATTGATAATCGGTATTTGATTGGATCATTGGATAGAGTTTACACGTTTTTAGACTTGGACTCCTTATTATGGAAAAAATAATAATACACTAATGAATTAGAAAGTGTTTGGAAACTAAAAAAATGACTTTTGAAAAATATTTTATGAAAAATTAATCATTTTTCAAAAAATATTTTCACTTTTCGTGTTTGATTGTATTTCAACAAACTATCTTGATTTGTTTGGTTTATTTTATAAAAAATGTGCAGAATTATATAGGTAAAATTTTAATTATTTTGTGTAACACTTAATCATTAGAGATAGTGTTTAAGTTTATGAACTAGCCATAGAATTAATTTGTAGTTAGAGTTATGTTATTATTAACATATCCCTACTTGAGTAATGCTTTTAAAAACTTTAGAGACAATATATGTATTTTTTGTACAATTAGAGGATGGTTTCTTTTTTAGATGTGTGCATAATTTATTTTGAGGAACAGGTATCAAGAATAAATGTTGAGTTTGTTCATAAAGGACCTAAGTTAGAGAATCAAAATACATATGATGCATAGAAAATATTACCCTCTTGAGTGGAGGCCGAGGGCATACCAATGTAATATTACCCTCTTGAGTGGAGGCAGCGGTAGTGGTGGTCGTGGTGATGGTGGTGGCGGTGATGGTGGTGGGGGCGGCGGCGGTTGTGGCAGTGGCGGTGGAATGGTGATGGCGGCGGCGGTTGTGGGATGGTGGTGGTGGCGGCGACAGTGGTTGCGATGGTATGGTGGTGATGGTGACGGCGGCGGTGGTGGTAGTGGTGGTGGTGGTGTGATGGTGGTGGTGTGGTGGCAGTGGTATGGTGATGGTGGTGGCGGCGGCGATGGTTACGGTGGTATGGTGGTGGTGGTGGCGGCGATGATGGTTACGGTGGTATGGTGGTGGTGGTGGTGGTGGCAGCAGTGGTGGTATGGTGTTGATGGTGGTAGTGAGGTGGTGGTGTGATGTTGGTGTAAAAGTTGGAAAATGACTTCCCCTCAAAAAAAGGGGAAGTCATTTTCCTCAAAAACAAGCCTATTTTCCAAAGTCAACGGAAAATGATTTCCGTTGACTTGATTTTCCAGACACATCCAAACAATGGAAACTTGGAAAATGATTTCCAGAACTCATTTTCCAGGTTTCCAAACACACCCTAAGTAGGAGAATGTAAGATTTTTTTATGTTATATATTTTATATATTAGGATTTTAATTATGTGATGCAAGTTGATTAGACTTATTGAGGTTATTTAGTTTATCAAACACTATGCCTATATTGATGAGATTAGCATATAGAATTCATGTACTCTGAGTCTCTGACTGCTCAGTTATCATTTCAAATATGTTATTTTAAGCTCGAAGTCAAGTATGGGATGAAACATCTAACTTTGATCACTTCCTATAAGTCTGCAGTACAATTTTGTTACAAAAAGTATCAATTATACTACGAGGTTAAATTTTTTGTGATTAAGTTTTTATTCTGTTTATGTTAAATTATATTTATACCAAACATATTATAAATATAATAACTAATTCGATTTCTCTAGAGAATTCATAGGTGATCATCAAATAATGGATATTCATCAAGCTAAGAGTTCCTCGGAAACTGAAAATCAAACTCCTGCCAGCCTGTAACCTAAATATCCTTTCTCTCTCTCTTTTAAATATTCCATCGTCAGGTATATTTTCAATGATAGGCTTTACTATATTTATATAAATATATAATCAATTTAATACATATTTTCTTTAAAAATGTTTATAAAAAAAATTGCTAAGCGGCATCCGGGAACCGCCTATTTTTTTTTATTTTTATTTTTGTTTTTTTTTACACAACTATACACAATTACACAATACACACTAAATGTGAATTGTCAAATAGTCAAAACGTCAAATACACATAGACACACTATCCACAAATCATAAATTCACATATCACAATTCACAATACACACGGTAAATGGTCAAAATGAAAAATGGAAAATGGAAATGAAAATGAAAATTTGTATTCTACATTCCACGTACAACCACAACCCACACTCCATAACCCGCACAGGCTTAACTCAATAGTTTAATGGACAGTATTTGAGGTAAGAGGCCAAGGTTTGAACCTCGGCGGCGGCAGTGTGAGAATTATATTTAAAGTGGACAGATTCCTTGTGCGCACCGGCTTTTGGCCTTGTCTACTAACCTATTGAGTCACCGGCATTTACTGCGAGGCGACGACTGGAGGCATTCGGCAACTGGCCACGACGGCGAGCAACAACGCTGGAGTCTCTGGTTCATCTATCCGTCTAAGCGTCTTTGAACGAACATAACGATTTTTCTAGGGTTATTTGCTCAAAACGAGGTCATTTTAAGCGAATAACCCTAAAAAAAAAAAAAAAAAAAAAAACGTACAATAATTATTCGGCCAATTGGTCATGGAGAAGGTCGATTCCGGAGTTCTTCGAGACGGTCGGGCCTCGATTAATTGACGCCTAGACACAATTTTTGTCGGCCTCGATTAAAGGACCTAAGTTAGATAATCAAAATGCATATGATGCATAGAAAATATTATCCTCTTGAGGGGAGGCCAAGGGCATACCAATGTGATTTGATCGCGTGCTTTGTTCTTTAATTTAATGATCGAGCGTTGTGTTAGTACTTTCACTAAGTAGGAGGATGTAAGATTTTCCTATGTTATATATTTTATATATTATGGTTTTAATTATGTGATGCAAGTTGATTAGACTTATTGAGGTTATTTAGTTTATCAAACACTATGCCTATATTGATGAGATTAGCATATAGAATTCATGTAGTGACTGCTCAATTATCATTTCAAATATGTTATCTAAAGCTCGAAGTCAATTAAGTGTGGGACGAAACATCTAACTTTGATCACTTCCTACAAGTCTGCAATACAATTTTGTTACAAAAGGTATCAATTATACAACAAGATTAAGTTTTTTTGTGATTCTGACTGCTGGAATTATTGAATTTCCGACCACCTGATAGTGATTTTAAATCAAGTTGAAAGTAAAAAGTGGTTGGAAATAGCAACAAAGATTTTTCCGGATACCAAAAATGGTCAGAACAAAGCTTTCGACTTGATTTAAGATCACTTTCAGGTGGTCGAAAATTTCATAATTTCTAGTAATAATTTTTATTCTGTTTATGTTAAATTATATTTATAACTAAACATATTATAAATATAATAACTAATCATAATTTACATTATCACAAATGCTTTGTCGAGTTGAGTATGGAATTTTTAGAGTTGGATTCAACCTTTTGGAAGAATATAATAACTAATTCGATTTCTCTAGAGAATTCATAGGTGATCATCAAATAATGGATATTCATCAAGAGTTCCTCGGAAACTGAAAATCAAACTCCTGCCAGCCTGTAACCTAAATATTCCATAGCCAGGTATATTTTCAATGATAGGCTTTACTATATTTATATATATAATCAATTTAATACATATTTTCTTTAAAAATGTTTATAAAAAAATAGCTAAACGGCGTCCGGAAACCGCTTAAGCGCCTCATTTTGTTATTTTAATTTTAATTTTTTTACATTATACACAATTACACAATACACACTAAATGTCAATTGTCAAATACTCAAAATATCAAATACACAGACACACTATACACAAATCACAAATTCACAGATCACAATTCACAATACACACGGTAAATGGTCAAAATGAATTTTTAATTTGTATTTTACATTCCAGCCACAATTCACACGTCCACATATACATGCGACTAATGCGAAAAAAAAAAAAAAAAAAAAAAAAAACTTACGAAGTTGCACTGCAGCAGCGACATCGACTGGACTCACAAGAGGCGAGGCGGCAACGACGGGAGGCGTTCGGCAACTGGCCACGAAGGCGAGCAACAATGTTGTGGAGGTAGAGGTGGAGGCAGCGCTGGAGTCTCTAGTTCGCCCGTCTAGGTGTTTTTGAATGAATATAACAATTTTTTAGGGTTATTTGCTCAAAACGAGGTCATTTTAAGCGAATAATCCTAAAAAAGGAAAAAAAAACGTACAATAATTATTCGGCCGGTTGGTCACAAAAATGACCGATTCCGGAATTCTTCGAGACGGTCGGGCCTCAATTAATCGGCGCCTAGGTACGATTTTTTATAACATGATTGCGTGTTCCTCTAATTTAAGAATCTTGTTATGATCATCTTTAACATAACACCGTACCCCAATTTAATTCTTAATTAATTTAATAATTTTGTTATGATCATCTTCAACGTAACACCCCAATTTAATTCAATTTGACTATATGTGAAGTTTCTTTCGCATCCATGCAACTTAATCTTGAAACACGTAGCTGTCTTGTGTTCAGTGTTCTCTGCCACCTTCTGTCTCCTTCATCACTGTTACTATGCCACTATCCAGCTTGTCATTTTTAAACAATATAGAAATTAAATTAACAATTCAAAAACGAACATATTTTTATAATACACGGAGTAGTTGCGTATTTATTACGAAGTATTAATTCCCGGCCTCTCCGTATTTTTGAAGAGACATTATTTATCTTTTCGTAAAGTAAATTAAATTAATTTTATTTAATATCATTTGTTGCAGCCATATTTCACGTACTAATTTAACGTATATATAAGTAACTCGATCTTGAGTTGATTTCATCAATCAATCACGTACATGCAGTGCTACTATTTGTGAACAAATTCTTCTCTTTTTCAATTCCCGTCCTGAATATATTGAAACTGATTCAAAGAAACTAACGCCATGGTGGAGATTCGTGATGAAGAACTAAGCTCGGAGAGCGAAATGGAGGTGGAAGAAGAAGAAGAAGAGGAGGTGAGCTACAATGAACTCAAGAAGCGCATGTGGAAAGACCGTATGCGAATGCAAAAGCTCAAAGCCGCCAATAAGCGCCGGAAAGACTCCGGCGGCGAAGACGACAGCGTCCTCATCGAAGCCTCCTCCTCCGCCTCGTCGGCGGCGGACGCAGCGGCCAAGCAAGAGCAGTCTCGCCGGAAGAAAATGTCGCGGTCTCAAGACTCGATTCTCAAGTACATGGTGAAGATCATGGAGGTATGCAAAGCGCAAGGGTTCGTTTACGGGATCGTGCCGGCGAAGGGGAAACCGGTCACCGGCTCCTCCGATAGCCTCCGAGAATGGTGGAAGGAAAAAGTTAAGTTCGAGCGGAATGCTCCGGCGGCGATAGCCGAGTTTCTACCCAAATTAGTCTCGTCGGCGGCAGCGGCGGAGAATCTCCACGATCCATCTTCAAGCCTCGTATACCTCCTCCAAGATTTCCAAGACACCACGTTGGGGTCAATGCTGTCGGCCTTAATGCAACACTGCGCGCCGCCGCAGCGGCGTTTTCCTCTAGAAAAGGGGCTGGCGCCGCCGTGGTGGCCGTCAGGAAAGGAGCTGTGGTGGGGCCACCAAGGGTTAGCCCAAGAACAAGGCCCGCCGCCTTACAGGAAGCCTCACGATTTGAAGAAAGCGTGGAAGATAAGTGTTTTGGCGGCGATCATCAAACACATGTCACACGATACCGACAGGATGAGAAGACTGGTGAAACAATCTAGGATTTTGCAAAACAAGATGACCGCCAAAGAGACAGCAACTTGGGTCAAAGTCGTTGACCAAGAAGAAGCCCTCGTTAACCTCACCCATAAAGCACTCAACATTTCCCCACCCGATAAACAAAAATCCATATCCCAAACTTCCAAATTAAGAACCAGAGAGAAGAGAAAGAGAGGATTAATGGTTGAAGACGAAGAAGATCTTTCTGGGTTGGCGAATAGCGATGCCTTATTAGCAATGGTTCCACATAATGCAGAGAGGATTATTAATTCTGGGCATGGAGATGGAGATATAAGCCAGCAACTGCCTGAGTGGATGACTGAGGAGATCCAAAGAAGCTTCCAAAGCTACCATGCACAAACAAGTAATGGAGGATTGGGTAACTATTATGGGAACTATTGGAATAATGAATCAGCTGTGATCGAACATCAGTTTATGTATGACGACCCACAAGTCTCTGGAGACCAAACCTCAACTCATCATGAACCAACATCTATCTGGGATTTGACATATATACCATGATGTGGAAGAATCATATATAAATTCAAAACACTACATCTTCTCTCAAATACTGTCTATTAAATTCGTTCCGGCCACACTACTACCTGAATCTGACTTTACAAATGATGGATTGCAGTAACCGAGACAAAAAGGGACATTTGTTGATATATCTTTTATTTTATTTTGTAACGTTAAACAAGATATCTTACTATATTTAATATCTAATCTAGCAAGACAATAAAACTATCTAAAAAGTACTACTACCAAAAGACTTCAAACTAGGATTACTTTTTTTTTTTTTTTTTTGGTAATGATATATACATATATGTTAATGGTAATTAACAGTATAATAATATATATGCTTGTGTGGCTTTCGTTTTTATTAATTTAATTTAATTTAATTATTATATATATATATATATATATATATATATATATATATATATATATGTGTGTGTGTGTGCGCGCGCATTTTTTTTGCTGTATATTTTTATACTGATTCTGAAAAGTAAAAAAATAGCGGAACTTAAAAAGGTTACATTGGCTTGCGCGATCATCAAGTACCAAAGAAATATATATATATATATATATATATATATATATATATATATATATATATATATATAAATGTGAGTATATGGTACAAGATGTATATGTATGTAGATTGGGGGTTAGATAGAGAAGGTGTTAAAGCTCATAGAAGGAGTGTCTTTGGGGCATCATATTATGATATTCCAAAGTGGCACCGGTGCACGAAAACCCCTTTCGAAATTTGACACATTTGTTGGCCATCTCTATTCCCACGGAGAATACAGCACAAACTGGTCTGTGATCCGACAGCCTCGACTCTCCCCTTATATAAGACAATTGTTCTATGCAGTTACCACGCCATAATATTCTGTCACACCTAAAATCAATCATTTTATAATGTAACGTAAGTGTAAGTGTAACGATAAATTAAAGTTTGTTGTCTAGGTAATCTGAATGGGCAAAAAAAATAGAGAGAGAGAGAGACCAAGCAGGAGTTCGGCGTTTCTTTTTGGACTTTCCGGTTTCGCCTGCGTAGGAATCAGAATTATGAGTGTACTTATACGTGGGAGCAAACATGATTTTTCCTTCGTTCCATTCACTGAATACTCGACCCGTTGCTCTCTCCATATTCAGCTGTTATGGTAACAGAGTTAGTAATTTAAGGATTAATTACTAATAACATCGACCACCAATAAATAAATAGCTAGTTATATAGTTTTATTTGTCAAATAATGTTTTAATTTTGTTTTTAAAGAATGAAATTTATCCATGCACTTTATTAAGAAGATGAGAAAGAATTGAATTGAAGTACCATACCTGATCTTTAAGGAGAAGAGAGTCCCAGTCATTGTCTTCTAACCGCTGTCTGGTTTCCTCGTAGCTGAGAGACAAGCGGTAATTCAAGTCCCCCAGCCATAACATGCGGCTGATGAGAATGAGAATAAAATGAGATAAGATTCCCAACTTAAAAGTTTATGATTAGAGGTGATGGAGTGAAATATATAATATAATATTACTCGTGCTCTGTAATTCTTTCTGGGGAATAGCGATCTGTATTCTTGCAAATCCTGGGGAACTGAACGCTCTTTAGAATCTCGGCGACGTCGGCGTTTCTTCTTAGCTCGTCACCTTCCTTCTCGCCGGAAGCTAGATGGCTGCATACAAAGCAAAACGTTGTTTTGTGCACCGACATGCTTATTGATATGCAACCCTGAAATGGAAATTAAAGTCCAAAAATTAAACACAACCAACATTATTATTATTATGATTACTGTTTTCATGATTTGGATCATGTTATGTTGTGTAAAGCAAAGCAACCTTGTTGCCTAGGCAACCCATGATTCCCCTTCCGACAGAGCAGACTCTGAGGTGGCCGATATGAGGAACCAGGTCTTTCCGGGCCCAGATGGAGAGGAAAAGCCCCACCATCTGCTTGCTGGCAATGATGTTGTAGTTGAGCTTGTTATACTCGGGAACTTCTGCGACGGAGAGGAGATCCACTATGCCGCCGGAGTCGCGACAATTATTATTATTATTATTATTGGCGGCGGCGGAGCGTGGGGAAGATGATGGGTTATCGCCCAGTTTTCTTAGGCGGCTGGGGGAGTCGAGATGGCAGTTGCAGGACTTCACCAGAGCGCTGTTGGCCTTCAGATTGCGGCTCATAAGCTTCAGAGATGGCTTGTTAAACTTGCCGCCGCCGCCGTCCTTGGACGACTGCTTTGAGGAACTCGGAGAATTAGCGTTATTGTTTTGTTCCGCCACGGATTCATGGTACGCCTTGTTCAGCGCGTGGCTTATCACCAACAGCCATCTCGCCGCCGGCTCGTTGTCTTCGCTCACCAGCACGTTTCCGGCGCTCAACGGAACAATTTCCTGAAACCTGATGATAAGGATAACTAACGCATGAGAGCTAGCTAGGTCTCACATTAATATTAATATAATATTATATATACAATTTGAAATCATGAAAAGACATATATACCCTAACACATAAATGTCAGCAGAACCCTCGACTTGCAAGAAATCCTCGAGATTGAGCCCCGGGTTGGGAGCCCTCCCTCCGACATTCCATGATCCCACGAAAATCCTACAATTCAATTCCCAAATAAAAACATTTATTTAATTCTTTCTAACTTGATCAACATTCATCCATTATATATGCATGTATGGAGAGAGAGAGAGATACACACACACATACACACAAAGTACAAATATTGTTTTCAAATTTTTCCCACCTGAAATCTTGAATTGTAGTGGCCGGCATTGACTGATCGGAAGTCGAGAGGTTAAGTCCTTCAATTCTGCTGCTATTGTGTCTTTCTGAAAGTTAAAACCTTGGCTACATTTATTTTCCAACTCTTCTTAATTTGAATACCAAAACTATATATATTTTTTCAGTGGAAATAATGGCAGATAGGTTTTAGTCTCAACTATAACAAACCTTTTATAAACTTTTTCAACAAGTAATCTGCACCGTCAATATTTCTCTACCCAAGTTATAACTTCATGACTTTATAATAGATGAGCATAGAATCTATCTCTAATTTTCTTTATATTTTTATATAATTATGTCAGCTAATTTCACAAAATAATTAATAAATATAAAAATATTATGATAATTAATCTAGTCCGTATTTTGGTAATAAGACTAATACAACGAACTTATATTATTAATGAGATAATCAAACTTTCACTTTGGTCTTCTGTTAGGTAAGCTACCAATTAACAAATAATACTGCAAGCTAACCCAACATATACATGTAGATGTCAAGTTTCTTGTACTAAGTAATTTCCACGTGGCGTCCTCTAATAATTAACAGGCATAAATCCTTAATATAGAGTATTTACTATAATATTCAACTTTCTCTACATACAACTACTGATTGAGATATGCATTAAGGTTTATAAATTATATAAAGGTTGGATTAACATAGATGAGTCATCAAATACAATATTATAAAACACCGTAGATATCATATATTATAAGATTAAAAAATCTGTTTCATAGATATCTTATATAATATTATACAAGCATGCACATGCAAGAAAAATGCCAAAAATATATTCATAATTTTTTTTTAAAAATATAAAAATCGTCACTTTGATGACGACTCCTGTCTGATATACCTTTTCGCAAACGAGGATCGGTCTCGAAATTGGTCTTTTTCCTAATTGCTGCGATCTTCCTATCCGAATCTGCTTCCGACCAATCCAACAACATAATATATTAGAGAAACATGGTACTTAAAATATTCCATTGGTCCTGTAATGCTGATACGTATCGGCTCAAGTTCGGGTGAAAATGCCAAGTTAATCAGCGATTTGATAATCATAAGGTTATAAGTTTGACTTTCAAAGGAATCAATTTATTGACATTCTTGGTTTGAGTCAGACAACTATAGACAAACTAAGTTAGTTTGTCGGTTAGAGTCACAAGACAGGACATACCTCTCAAGTACTGGATGAGATTTTCCTCGTCACCAAAATAAAAAATTAAAAAAGTGCATAAGAGAAAGGAATACCAATATCATCATCTTCAGTTTCTCTTGAAGCTAAGTCTTCTTCTGAATTTTCCCTGCTATTCTTTTTTGAGTTGAAAAGTTTTGGCATGATATGCTTTATTTCGTTACGTCGAAAAATAAAAAAAATTCCGGTTAATATTGTTGACAGTCTTGAAACCCAGAAATGGAAAAACGAATTAATTAAAAAAAAAGGAATAAGGATCAAATAGGCCATCGAACTGCGCACGATAATGCAATTAGGTCACTGAACTTAAAAAATCAACAATTAGGTTCCTAAACTAACCAATTTCAAACAATTCTTCCAATTTATAGGTTTCCAACAAGTTAACAGGTCATCCTTCCAAATTAATTATTTTTTAAAAATAAAATTTTAAAATTAATTATTTAAATAATTAAAAAAAAAAAAACAGAATTCAGCCGATCTGTTTTTTTTTTTTTTTTTTTTTTTTTTTAATTTTAATTTTAATAATTAATTTTTAAATTTTATTTTTAAAAAAATAATTAATTTGGAGGATGACCTGTTGACTTGTTGGAAACCTTCAAATTGGAAGAATTGTTAGGAATTGATAAGTTTAGGGACTCAATTGTTGGTTTTTTGGGTTCAGTGGCCTAATTGTATTATCATGTACAGTTCGATGGCCTATTTGACCCTTATTCCTAAAAAAAAATATTAGTAGCATAATTTTATACCTTCTTTTTCTTTTCACCTTGACAGAATTTTCAGGGGCTGCCGGAGATGGAGCGGCGGCGGCGGCCTTAATCAGGTGGATGTTTTCATTAGAGCTATTGCTACGCCTCGCCGCCGACCAAATTCATCTATATGTGCACGATCTCCAAAATCGAAACCAAAAACAATAAATAAACAAATAAAATGTAATTAAAGCTACGAATTTATTTTGAAGAAAAACACAAATTTTGTTGAGCGCATGAAACTTTTTTTGCTTTTGACTTCGGTTGTTTGTTTGT